TTTCTTCAATATTTATTTTATTTAATTTCCTTATATAATATGAATTAATAACTTCCATAATTACGAAATATGTGTACAAAATGTCATAAATACCCTTATTATTTAAATTTAATTGAAAACAAATGAAATTTTCTTATTGGTCGAATTTGGTTTACACGGTTTTTTAGAATTGGACGGTTCGCATTTGAACCTACCCCTATATATATATATATATATATATATTTGTGTCACGTGTATTCGATTCACAATGTGAGCTTTTTTGGCGTGTTTGTGAAACAAATAGTACACGTAATTTTTTTTTTATTGTGAACTGAATACATATGAAACATAACCACCTTGAAACAAATGTATGTACATCAATGAAAAAAAAACCATGTGAAACAAAACCTTAAGGATAAAAGTTCTCATGGATCTCAAAAAAATTGATGTTCTCAAATGATTAATCCTTTATTATACATTATGTATATTAGATTTCTATTTGTTATCACTGTGTTTCATGTGTCATTTTATATGATTTTTTTTCCATCTATGATTAGAATTTAATGCAGTGATTAACATATATATTTGTTTCACAATATGTTTGCATCACATGTACTTGGTTCACGATGTTGGTATTTTTGACGTGATTGTGAAAACAAATACATGTAAAATAGTTTCGTTTTGTGAAATGAATACATATGAAATAAACACATTATGAAACAAATATATGTTAATTAATATATTATATATAGATGGAAAAAGATCACGTAAATCAAAATTTTAAGATATAAATTCTCATAGAACTCACAAATTTTAGAGTTTTTAAATGATTAAACCACTGTTTATGTTTAATAGAAGAGTACTCCCACAATGTAGCGAGATACATCCCTCTTTTAATGTTTCATTTTTTTTTCTCTCGGTCGATATTATAGTATAGTTTTATGTGGTTTTGAAAAATCAATAATGTTTTTATTTTTGAATAAAATATAAATATGAAGATATGTCATAAATTTTTTTTAAAAAAATATTGATATTAGTATAAAGTTAACTATTTAAAATCTCTCTTTTTTGTGTATTTCTTTGATTCATTTGTTTTATTTTTGGTTAAATATTATAATTTTTATAAAAATAATAATTGAATATTTTATTAGAACTCAATGATTATCTTAATTATATTTTAGATTTTTTATATTTAAGATGAAATGTTTATTCTCGATTAAATTATATTTATCTGCAGTTAGTTACACAAATTCAAATATGAAGCTCTAATAAGTTATACTTACGTACAATTTACTTGTAATATTAAATTTTAAGTAACATACATCAATAAACAGTATTTCATACATAAAAAATGGTTTTTAAAGTTTTTATCAAATACTTTATAATATACTATAAATAATATTTTAATATTAAAAACATCTTAAATAATAAATTTACTAATTACAAAATATTTTTATTAAACTCTCCATCAATTCGAACGTTGTGATTTCTGGAAATAACGTAACCTCAAATAAAATAAAATAAATGCTACCTAAAATATTATTAGGTAATAAATAAAAATAACAAATAAATGGTAAAATATACTCTCTTTATTTTTATTTTATGCGTTACGAATAAACAATAGAAGTATTAAAATAAATAAAATATTTATTTAAAAATTTTAATTTTAATTTATTTATTTTTATTATAAAATTTAAATATTTTATTAAGAAATTATTATTTTTATGAAATTGTATTTTATTGTGAAAATAAAATGGTAGGAATAGTAGGCCACCACCAACCATCTAAAGAGAGTGGATGAGAAGAATGACAACGTCCCATCTACTCCCGAACTTGTTTATTACATTCTTAAAATCACACACACAAAAATAAAAAAAAAAATTAGAAATTTCAAATAGTTAATTTGATATTAATATTAATATATTTTTGTCAAATTTTTATAATATCTTTAAACATATATTTTATTCAAAAATAAAAACATCATCGTTTTCTCAAAATCACATAAAGCCATATTATAACATCGACTGAGATAAATAATAAAATGAAATATTAAAATCATGATATATCTTGCTGCATTGCGCGAGTACGCTTCTAGTATTATATAATATATATATGTATATAAGTTTTGATTAAAATAAAAATTAAAGTGAGAACCATAAGAATAAATCACCTCCATTAAATACATATTAGAATAAAATGCACCAGATCAATTCTTGTATCAAGCACAATTAATGAGTGGATTTAAGATTAAATGTAAGTTAACATTCAGAATTCTTATTATGTTTTTTACTTTAACTCTTTTTTCCACACGATTTTATGCTCCAACAATTAGATCCAAAACGAAGAAGGTATGAAAGAAAGAGTTTTTTTCTTCAAATATGAAGAACACCCCAAAAATGATTACCATGTGAGAGAAATATTTTTTTAAACATATTTCTACCAATAAAAAACTTTGATAATAAATAATTAGAGAGAAAAATAATATTTTAATATTATAATCAATGTTGGATTCTGCAAAAATGGGAAATCTGTTGGAGACGAATGTATTTTTTTTAGAGATTTTGACTTTTAATTCACTATTTTTAAAGAAAATTTAGAAAATACTAGAAGGATGCTAGTACAATGCAGCGAGATATATCGATATAATGTTTCGTTTTATTTTTTGTCTATGTCGATATAATATGGTTTAATGTGATTTTAAGAAAGTGATAATGTTTATATTCATAAAAATTTGAAAAAAATATATCAATATTAGTATGAAATTAACTATTTAAAAATTCTAGTTCTTTAAGTAATTTTTTTAATTCAAATTTTTTATTATAATTTAATTTAAGTTTAATAACGAATTAATTTAATTCTGGTTTAATAACGAAGTAATTTAAACTTATAATTTTTATAAACATAATAATTAAGTATTTTTGTTATAAGTGTAATTCAATGATTATCTTAATTATATTTTAGATTTTTTTATATTTAAAATGAAATGTTTATCCTGTAGTTGATTATGTTTATTTGCAGTTAGTTACACGAATTCAAACATAAAACTTTAATAAGTTGTAATTACGCACAATTTACTTGTGAACTCGAATTTTAAGTAATATACATCAATAAACAATAATTTATACATAAAAAAATAAATTTTAAGAGTATTTGTCAAATGCTTTATAATATAGTATTAGATGTTAGAAGCGTTTTTAGATACTTTGATTTGTAGTTTTTTATTTTAGAAAAATTATAAAAAAAAGCTGTTTGTCTTCTTGTTGAACGGGTCGGGCCGGGTCTCTGAGAGATCTATTCTGGATTTTTTGAATCCCTCCGTCGCGAAAAGTGGTTGGTTTCCCTCAAAAAGAAAACATCGAGAGCACGTATTGAAAGCTTTTGAAATCACGTGTTTCTGCTTTCGCTTTGCTTTCTTTTCAATTCTTTTGCCGCCCCTTCTTCTGGTCTCCTCCATTGATGACACCTTCAAACCCTCGATTTTTTAAATCAAATTCATCTTCACCACTTTCTTCTTCATCTTTCTGTACATTTCTGTAAATATATTGTTTCTTAATTCAAACAATTTCTCTGTTTTCCCCCTTTTAATGGAAAATACGATGCTTATGATCGTTTCGTCTTCAATGTTCAGGTACTAATCTATCTTCTTCGGATTCTTCTTTCATGGATTTCGCCTGATTTTTACTTCTCGTGTGTAATGTGTTGAATGTAAGCTTATTCATCAGTTTTATTGCTTGATTTCTTCTAATTGAAGCCCTAATTCGTTATTTATCGATCACGTTTCTGATGATGCATTGAATTGGTACTGTATATTTGTTTGCTAGTTCCTTTCTGGATTTTAATTTCATTAGTTAAAGTGTAAGATCGAGTAATTACAAAGAATGGTCGCATTCATGTATATCCGTTGACAATTGAGATGTCATCTTCTTACTGTTTATCATTACAGGAAAAACCCAAAAAAATGAAAAACTCAGGAAACACCCTAATAACCGTTCATATTTACACTATGCATCCTGCATACAAGTAATTTGAAGATGAATCCTGTTTCACGTACTTTAAGGTGGATTAAAGCGTAGCAAAGTCATCCTATTTATTTTTAGTGGTATTCCACTGTTTTAATTCGTACCTCAAAAAAACTCTACTTACAAAAATAAGTTAAGCAGGTACACGACGCTCGAGGCTTAATAGGTCCGCCCCTGCTTGTGTTGCATGTTATGCACATGTGCATACCGGAAAAATTACTTATAAAATACTTGCATACACATGTGTATACTGTACAGATGAATGGTTAGTAGGATGTTCCTCAATTTTTCATTTTCTTGCGTTTCCCCCCCCCCTGAACTTGACCCTATAATACTCATAATCACCATCATCATCATTATGTGTTTAATGTTCAACAATTATGCCATTTATTAAGGGAATAGGGTATTTCCTCAGGAGGGTACCTGAATAGATTGGTGTACTTAATAAGCCTTTATTGTGATATTCTGAATGTTCTGCATATTGTTGAGATGGACTTAATTAGGAAGGATGTATGAGAAGGCTAGTTTACTTACCTCTCTGATTAGATGTATGGTTGGTGTTGATAAAGATCCAATAACAACAAGGGTCATTTTCCATTTGAAAATTTCATTTATTGCAAGCATAATGTCACCAAACCACTTTAAAGTTCCCACAGCATTTGTTCCAATCTGAATTTGTATTTTGTGTTATGCAAACAGTTTCAACAGTGTACTATTACCCATAGTTTTCAAAATATATACATTATATAGACGTTTTTTAGTTTGTTGATCCTCGTGTAAGAGGTCTAAACATGAATCGTTAACAATGGTTTTGACGGTTTTGAAGTGTGTTATAGTGGTTGTTAGCCAGGATAAAGCTTCTCCAGAGAAAGCAGATTGAGAAGTTGAGGATTGTTGGTAGAGTTCATCAAATGGAGAACTACGATATATTAGAGCAGATTGGGAAGGGATCGTTTGCTTCTGCTCTACTTGTGAGGCATAGACGTGAAAAGAAAAAGTATGGCTTCCATCTCCATTGTTTAATATTTCATATGTATGGTAATTGTGAGAATATGTAAAATCCCATCAGGTTACTCTCCAAATGAGCCCTTGAGGAGAGAACCGAGGTTCCAATATATATATATATATATATATATATGTATATACAAAGAGCGAGGGAGGATCAAACAAGAATGTTAACTATTAAGAGAATACGAAACGGCCAAATCACATGCAAAATCACATGTGATTTTACATTAATAGCAAAAAAAGGGTGTGCATGCGACTTTGGGCGTGACTTCAAGCCGCGGGGCAAAGTCGCGTGAATCACATGTGATTTTGTACGTGATGTTAGTATAAAATAACATGTGATTCGGCCGTTTCTTATTTTTTTTAAATAAGTGTTGTTCTCGTTTGAACCTGACTATATATATATATATATATATCTATATATATGTATGCACATGTGCATACCGCCCAAATGAACAGTTACCCGGGTGTTCCTCCGTTTTTCATTTTTTTGCGGTTTTCCCCTTCCATATATGTGTGTGTATATATATATGTATATTAAGGTGAAATGGAGTGTCGAGTCCCTAGAGCGGTAAACCTTGGCTCTAATTAACCATGTGAGGATATATGGAACCTCCTTAGATGACTCTCCAAAAGATCCCTTGAGGAGAGAAGGAGGTTCCAACGTATATTCATGTGAACTGATCCAAGTTTAGCCGATATGGGACTCCAAAAGTAATGTCTCTTCATATGTTTTGACTATGGCCGGCAAAATGCTTGGTGTATTGGGTTTATTCAATCGATGAAAAATCTCTCCTTTCAGGTATGTTCTGAAGAAAATCCGGCTTGCCCGACAGTCTGATAGGACCCGCAGATCTGCCATACTGGAGGTTGCTCTTCCCTCTTGTATAATGTATAAATACCATTAACATGATCTCTAGAAATGATATGTTATCGGTTATCCTAATGATAAGCTAAAGAGAAATACTGCAATCACAAAAAACTTTGCAAGATAATACTTTAGTTTGTCAAATATTTACTGTGATTGTACCTCTTCTGTTCATCAGTTTGTTCTCTTGATATTGGACTTAGGGACTGTTTGGTTGGTTTTTCATCAAGTACTGTATGGATAAAGCTGTCTGTGTAGATTAATCTGTCTGTAATTGGAAAGATTTTTGTTTGTGAGAGTTTTTTCGTAGAAGAAAGGAGCGCGTTTATTAATTGGGAGGGGCAGGCTTGGAAAAAAAACTTGGCTTTTTGCATAAAGCTCCTCCCTAGAAGCTTACTGAATAAGCCACTTTCTATATCATTAAGCCACTACCAAACATTCATGTATAGCTGATCAAATAAGCTGATATCACATTAAGCTCATTAAGCTGCTAACAAACAGACCATTAATTGATTTCAATGTCTTGGCTATATTAGCAGGAGGTGTAGCCCCAATAGCACCAGTTTTTATATGTATGTTGTGCTTAATTGAAACATATCTGGTTCTCTCCTATGCAGATGGAGCTTATTTCCAAAGTGCAAAATCCTTTTATAGTTGAATACAAAGATTCATGGGTAGAAAAGGTATGTCTGCTCTACTGGTTCTCATGCTGTCACTTGGATGACAAAGGCTTCTAATGTACTTCTGTCCCATGAAAATTGCACATGGCTAAGAATTGTCGGACTATTTCTCAAATATCTAAACTACCCTTAGGGTGTGTTTGGTACACATGACAAAACATAACAGAACAAAGATCAATGTTCCACGTTTGGCAGGACTTTTATGTGGAACAAAGTGGATCGAGCGTGTTCCACCCCCACCCTGTGGAACAAGGTGGAACAAACGCATATATTTTACCAATATTACCTTAAGATAAAACCTAATTCTCTTCTAAAACATCAGATACGCCTCCCTCTTCACATTATTCATTCTTAAATTTTATTTATTATATTTTATGCTCTCTAAACTCACTTTATTGTCCTCAAAATATTATTTTTATACAATCTCTATATTTTGGTTAATTTATGTAATTTATTAAATAGTAAGAATAAAAAAATAATGTACATAATGTATAAAATAGAAATTGGAAACTACATAAAATTTTATTTTGGTGTCATTTTAATTGTCTTAACGAAAACTTTCTAATGATATACTTTGTTATAAAAAATATTTATTTTATTATAATTTAATAAATTACTGAAATTAATCAAAATATGTAAACAACTCATTATGGGTAAACTGGTCATTCTATTTTTTCTGTCATGTCCCGTTATGTCTTACGAAACGCTGAACAACTGTTTAGTTCTATCCTGTCCTATTTGGATACCAAACACACTCTAACAGAACCAGAGGAATCTTGTGAACCTAAATCAATAACATCAATTCACATGTCATGATGATGAGGGTAAATAGGTAATCGTAACATGAAAAACGTCCAAAAAGAAAAAACGTTGCATTTTTTCACGAGACATCACGGAAAGGAAAGTGTTGCAATGTCAACGGGATAGAGGGAGTAACTTTACTTTTATTTGGCTATCATGCTCTATAACTTGTAATTACCATTTAGAACTTTTTATCCTTCAGGGTTGCTATGTGTGTATTATTATAGCTCATTGCGAAGGAGGAGACATGTAAGCTATATTCTTTATCGATTCATCACTTTCTTATATGATTGTTGTGATGTTTCCAACTATTCGTTCATGTAGGGCTGAAGCAATCAAACGGGCCAATGGAGTTCATTTTTCGGAAGAGGTTAATCTACCTTTTGTACACAATTATAGCTACGTGAAATTGGAACATCAAACACATGGTTTAGTAATTTGCCTACATCCATGCTTTCTTTATCTCACACTTTTCACAAGCTAAAGGTCTTCATGGAAACAACTGCTCTATTCTTTGGGGGTAGAGGACAATTGTGCGTACATTCCACCCCAGAGCTCGTTTGGCTTATGTCAAAGAAGATGTAACACCCCAAAGCAATAGGCTGCCCAATAACTTTGAATCCAACTTAAAACCATGGTGACTGCCCAATAACTTTGAATCCAACTTAAAACCATGGTGGAAGTTATTGATAAGGAGCCCATGGTGGAAGTTATTGATAAGGAGCCAGCCCACAAATCCCACCCCAAAGCAACAAGCTGACCCAATAACTTCGAATCCAACTTAAAATCATAGTGGGAGTTATTAATAACCCACAACTTGAGGCTTATAAGGAGCTCACAAATCTCATTTTCTTTCCATGTGGGACGAGTTGTTACAGAAAACGACTGACATCATATAAAAAGAATCCGGACATAAAAATAGTGTGCAAAACTCCATGTCTAACGTCTACCCACGTATTTTACTCATTTAAATGTGCAGAAACTCTGCAAATGGCTTGTTCAACTCCTGGCAGCCCTTGATTACTTGCACAAAAGTCATATCCTCCATCGAGATGTTAAGGTTTCTTTCTGCAATATCTCTATACATCTTGCGTTAATTATCTAAAAATGAGAATACGATATAACTTAATAATTCCGTTCTTATTTCAGTGTTCGAATATATTCCTAACAAAAGATCAAGAAATCCGACTCGGTAATGATCTGCTGCCTTGTACTTTAAACCATGCAATCTAAATATGTTTCAAGGCACATGCATCTTATAGCTTTAGATTAGCATTACTTTCTTTTGTCATTTTCAGGTGATTTTGGTCTTGCTAAAATTTTGACTTCTGATGATCTTGCATCCTCTGTAAGTATATTGCTCCAACAATTGATCTGAAGGCTTGTTTTACTATTTGAGAATAGTTGGAACCCCATCATATCACACTCTAAAAAGCCCCAGGAAAGAAGAGATGTTCCAACATATATTAAGAAGAAATGATCCAAATCTAGCTGATGTGGCGCCCCCTCCTAGAGCAATATAAGCAACGATATATATATTTTTCACAAAATCTTCATTAGTTTGTTGGTTAGTTATTTGCTTTTTTCATATATGAGCTCTCCTGTTCGAATCTTTTAATGCAAATTCTTTCAGAAACATAATAAATCTGAGGTTAAAAGCTAAAAACTAAGAAAGTGACACAAACAATATGTGAACCTGCATATGGGGTGGGAGAAAAGCCATGTAAACCAACTCTACCTAGGGAAAATTGTGTCATCACTGTAGTTTCAATATTATATATGGTTGCATACAACAAAATGATATTGTGGCACTTTTTCACGACCCTATAATTTTTTACACTATAATGGAGGAACGAAGTGGTGGCCCGTGCCACCTTACCGTATAGAGTGGGTCCGCCCCTGTCCAAGAGTGTCGATAGGGGGCTAGACGGGATAGAGTGTCAAGTACCTATAGTGTAGACCTTGACTCTGATACCATGTGAGAATATATGAAACCCCATCAGATTACTCTAAAAAAGAGCCCTTCAAGAGATATATCAAGAAGAGATAGTCCAAATCAAGCCGATGTAGGACTCCAACATACACACCTGTGAACTTTCTGCTCACAAAAGTGTTTCCGTTTCAGGTTGTGGGAACACCTAGTTACATGTGCCCCGAGCTTCTTGCGGATATACCTTATGGTTCTAAGTCAGATATCTGGTCTTTAGGTAATTCAGGTTCTTTTCAGTTTTTTAATAGTGTGTAATATTTATATACGTCAAATACTCACAACAATTATGGCCACTGAGTTTGTTAGGGTTGATGTCTTGCAAGTTGCAAAAAAATACTCACACCCACTTCTCACCTTTCGTGAAGTTTGAATCTTTGACCTCTTGGGAGGCTTAGAACTCGGGTACCACCGGGCCAATGACCCTATGGTAGGTTCTTTTTTTTTTGGAACGGTGTCCGCCTCGACTAATCCCGACAAATTGTGACTGCAACAAATCAGCCTTGATAAATTCAGTGGCCACAATTGTTGTGTACGTCTAGAATCAAACTCTGGACAGAGGAGATATTCCATCACAGTTTTTAGGTAGGTTCTTTTTAGTTGTTAGTTGCTTTGGAAGGCTAAATAACACATCCATTACATGCTTCTTGTCCAGGATGCTGTATATATGAAATGATGGCTTTCAAGCCTGCCTTCAAAGCTTTTGTAAGTTCATTTTTTGTTTTTATGGACTTTTACTCCCATTCATTCCATGAAATTGCAATGTTTGAATGGCCACATAAAAGACATTACGATTTTCGTCTCGGTGGTTTATAAATTGCGATTTTCGTTCCCATGGTTTACAATATTTTTGCCCATTGACTAATTCCTATTTCCTACCTTGGGTGCGTTTGACATGTAGACAACACATAAAAACTGTTCAACGTTTGGTAAGATATAACCGGACATGACAGAATAAACAAAATGACCAATTTACCTCTCATAAGTTGTTGATATCTTTTATATATTTTGATTAAGTTATGTAATTTATTAAATTATAAAAAAATAAATATTAGAAAGTTTTCATCAAGACAATTAAAATGATACCAAAATAAAAAGTTTATTTGGTTTCCAATTTTTATTTTGTACATTTTCTATATTATTCTATTATTAGTAGTATTTAATAAATTACATAAATTAACCAAAAATTTAAAAACCTTATAAAAATAATTTTGAGTGACAATAAAATGAAAGTTTAAAAAACATAAAAATACAATAATTTAAATTGATGTTTTAGAAGAGAATTAAAATATATTTTGAAGTTATATTGGTAAAATATTGGTCTGTTCCATCTTGTTCCACCATGTCCCATAGGGTGGAGGTGGAACACGTCTGTTCCACAAAAAAGTCTTGTCAAATATGGATCAGTGATTCATGTTTTGTCCTGTCCTGTGTTAACGCACCCTTAAAGTACAAGGGACCAAAACAATAAAGAATAGTAACCGAAACAATAATAAGTAAGGATGAATATAACAAAGAATTACAAACCATAGGGACGAAAGCCGTAATTTTTAAACTATAAGGACGAAAATCGCAATGTTTAACAAACCACAGGGACAAAAAGGTAATTTTACTCTAGTTTAAAGGAAAAGTTGGACTATCAACCAAGTGTCTTAATTTTGCAATCTCTTAATCAGCTCTCAATGTCTTAATTGTTTGCTCTGATGTCTTATTTCTCAACAGGATATGCAAGCTTTAATCAACAAGATCAACAAATCTATAGTTGCTCCACTTCCAACCATGTATTCTAGTGCCTTGTGAGTTTTTAACCTTCTTTTTAGCTTTTAAGAGCATCTCTAATAGCTATGCTATTTTACAGATTTTAAAGCTTTGGGAAAAGTTTGTTCCAAAGATATGTTAAACTCTCCTTAAAATAGATAAAAATAGGGGAGAGAATGAAAAAATCTCCAAATTTAAAACATGAGAGAGAAAATATAGCATATCTGTTTGAGATGCTCTGATAATACCATGTTTGGCAAAATGGTTCAAAACCCAACTCTTGGTTCAATCTAGTTCGTTGATAGAGTAGTCATGTTTGGTAAAAACTAGTTGTTAAACCATGTGACAATGTAAAATAACCTAAAAACACATGTTAGTAAAATTAATTGCAAAACTACACTACAACAAAATTGGGTTTATATGACAATAAAGCGTCTGAGTGTCATAATAAACTATACTTTATAGGACTTATGTTTACAGGACCAAACACTTGTGTCAGTTGTGTGGGCGTCTTTAAAAGCTTTTAGGATACTTTTGAAACAAAGTGTTATATTAGTCCTTTTATCGGAGACTATTTAAAAAATGTCTTAAAAATCGTCATTTGTACTATATTATAAAGCATTTGAGACAAATTCTTGAAAACCACTTTTGATGCATCAACTACTATTTATTGATGCATATTACTTAAAATCAAGATTACAAGTAAATTGTGCATAAATCAAGATTAAGTCATATAAAGTAATCTATTTGGCATCCTATAAACTCAATTTTGTTGTAGTGCTACAAGGGACATAATTGAAAAAAGTGGAAAAAAAACTCGTAAAGCTTATTGAAACGCTACTTCAAGTAGGAAGTGAGACGAGACCTTTTCAGTAAGCTAAAAAATTAAGCTCGTTTATGGTTGTTTAACGGTCTGTTATCTCTCACGGTCTAGTTTGTTGACTTCTCTTTCTTTTCTAGTCGAGGGCTTGTTAAGAGCATGCTGCGGAAAAACCCGGACACGAGACCAAGTGTATGCAATCTTATTCTTCTTTCGTCTACTCTTTTGCATACATTATTCAAGATTCAACACCCTCAAGTGCACAACTCGGTTGGTGAAGGGGCGGGGTGAGTTTGCTCACATACATAACGAACAATTCAGGTTCAAATCTCATGGGATGTGGCCTTGAATCCCTCTGCTTGCCTTGGCCACCGAATCAGCTCACGAAATGCTTCCTCACGTGTATAGATGGCGAAAATCTGGTCCCGTGCCTGAACCAGTCCCAACTAGAGCCTCCCTGCCGTTCTCCATGTAAAAAGCCTGGTCCTATAACCAGTCCTGGGCCGGGCCCAAATCGGTCCCAACTTCTTTTTTCTTCCCAAAAATCATTTTAAACATATAAAAAAACGTTGAAGTTTTTTTTTTTGTATAACATCTTATTGAAATACACTTTAAATCTTTAACTGGGTCATTCAAATATACTTAAAATCTATTTTTTAAATTTTTTTTCACATAAAAATGTTCTAAATTCTTTGGTAATTACAAATTTTGAAATCTAAGTATTGGAACACTTAAAAAACTTGAAAAACCTCTTAAAATTTGAAGTTTTTGGTAGAAAAAAACTTGAAAATCTTATAGAAATCTTGAAAAACTTGATATATAATTTATAAAAATGTAATTTTAAAAAAAAGGAGGGCCTAGCCCAGGTAAAACCAATCCCAGCCCCGTAACTGGTCTCGGGCCGGGCCTTGAATTTTCATAAAATCGTAACTGACCCTGGACTGTCGGTAGTGATGGCCAAACCAGCTCGGGACCGTCGGAGGACTGGAACCGGGACCAGCAAAGGAGCGGCCGGACCCTGGACCGGTTAGAGGACCGCCGATCGGGACCGGTTATGGTTTTGGAGGGTTTCGAGGGACCGGCCCGACCTGGTTTTAAAAAAAATAGCCATTTTTTTAAAATATAGCCGTTATATGACTCTTTTTGGTTCTTTTTGCCTTCTAAACTCTATATATAAGTGTCATGGTTGAAGGATTTACATACCAAGTTACAAAACGCAAAAAACGTTCACCATTCTCGGTTTCTCGCTATATTTTGTGGCTTCGACTCGTATTTTTAAAGTGTATTTGAGTGACCAAATTACAAATTTTATAATGTATTAAAAAATCTATCATTAAAAAAATTAAAAAAAAATATTTTTTTGCCTGGACCGGACCAGGTAACATAACCGGTTATAGAAATGCTTAACCGGGCTTAGTATTTTACGCCGGAACCGGTTATGACCAACACTGTTGAGGCCCAGGACCGGTAAGGCCCGACCCGGTCCGAAACCGGTTTTTGGCTATCACTAACCGTCGGTCCCAAAGCTGGGCCGGGCCGGGCCAGGCCCATTTTGGCCATCTCTACAGTCACATGTGGTGCCCATCGGAGGTCCATATGTGGGGCCGATTGGGTTGCCAGTAATCAATCTTTTCCCCCCCAAATTATTCAAGATTCCAACTTTTTTGATATTGGATTTATTTTCCCTTGATCACAGGCTGCAGATTTGCTAAAACATTCGTATCTTCAACCATATGTACATAAACTTCATCTAAACTTAAACCACGCGAGACGCCATACGATTCCACTCCGGTGGTCCGATTACAACTACGAAAAGAAAACAACATTCATCGAGCCTGAATCCGAACCCGAACCCGAAATAGTTCGTTCTCGTAGAAAACACAAGAAATCTTTCAGCTCTGACCGTGCCTTGAATCCTAGTATATCTGAACATGATCAAGCTTCTTTGTACTCGGAGAACATACGAGATTTGTCAAGATCTTTGTCTAGAAAGCTATCCATCGATAGCATCGATGAAGAGAAGCCCGTTGTTGCTAAGACACTCGTGGCTATCAGAACGCCAGTTAAAGCTTCGGCTTTGCCGAAGATAACCAGACGGGGTCCAAATCGCGATTTGGTATGTCGATGATATGCAATTCTTTTTAATATTGTTTTTTAAATGTCCCAATAGACTGCTCATAAAACTTAAGTTTATAGGAACATGACAGACAAATGTATGTCCTAAAGGTGTTTGCAATAAGTTGACAGTATGTTTTTGGTCGTTTTTAACAGATTTTTTAGGACATTTTCAAAATAAAATATACTGTTATTCTTTTTATATAGGGAAATTAACAAAAATAGCCGTTTCTGCCGGATATATTTACATCTTAGCAATTTCTCTCCCAAAATTTTACAAAAGGTCAGTATCTTTACAAGTAGCAACTTGTCAACTTACGGAGGGGTCAAAATGTAAAATAAAATAAGAAATTTATGAACTAAATTTACATATTTGGTCCCTATACTTGCGGACCATGTTTAGAAATATTTTATTTACATTTTGATCTCTCCGTAAGTTGAGGAGTTGCTACTTGCAGATGTGGTAACGTTTTGTAAATTTCGGGAGAGGAATGACTAAGAGGTAAATGTATAAGGTTGAAACGGCTATTTTTGTTAATTTCCCTTTTATATAACATTATTTGAAAATATGTTTCATAAAAATAAGTGTCATATAAGAATGTGTTCGAAGGACACTTCTCAAAAGACTTCTATAAAAAAGCTAATACGACACTTTTAAAAAATCTTCTATAAAAAAGCTAATACGACACTTTTCAAAACTATTATATAAAAAAGCTAATATGACACTTGATTACAAAAGTGTTTTAAAGAATTTGTTAAAACGTTCCTATCAACTTATCATAACACTTCTACATAAGACGTACAATTGTTTGGTGATATAAAACAATTGATCAAGACATTTAGAAATATTCAGCATCCTATAAGCCGATTTTGCTATAGTAACTTCAAAGTTGCTTGTTTGTTAGCAGCTTAATGAGCCTAATGAGACTCACAACTTATTCGATCAACTATACATGAATTATTGATAGTTGCTTAATGATATAAAAAGTGGCTTATTCAATAAACTTCTAGGAGGAAGCTTTATGTAGAAAGACGAGTTTTTGCAAACTTTCCCTTCCCAATTAAAAAACATGTTCCCGTCGTCTATGACAAACTCTCTCAAACAAAAACCTTCCCGATCTAAGACAACTTTATCCATACATGACTTAATAGAAAACGAACCAAACAGCTGCTTAGTGTGCATTCTTTACAGCTTCGAATAAGAAAACCACAATTCAGATGAGCGTTATGATATTAATTTTTCGACTCTTCGGTTTTGATCAGCTCCCGGTGTCGCAAACTCCGGCTAACAGACCTTCGCGAAAGACATCTCTCCCAAAACCGAACATCGGTCTTTCCAGTATCGAGTCTCCAGATGTATCAGTCAATGCTCCACATATCGACAAGATGACCGAGATCCCTTTATCCTCCATCGATCAACGCTTAATCCTATCGGTCCATGCAACTTCATCGATATCGACTCAATGTTGTTCTTCGGGTACTTATCCAAACAGCAGGGATCGATCCATTACAAGAGACCATTGCACCATCAAGACTGTTGACCGAACCCAAGTGGTTCATCAAAATGGAATCGGTGAGCACACCACAAGGAGGGTTGGTTCGAGCAACCCGTCATTAGAATCTTGGGGACAGCAACAACCGCATAGATTCGACACTTCATCGTACCAGCAACGAGCAGAAGCGTTAGAAGGGCTGTTGGAGTTCAGTGCACAGCTGATGCAGCAAGAACGGATCGACGAACTAGCGGTTTTGTTGAAACCGTTCGGCCCAGAAAAGGTGTCTCCAAGAGAAACTGCAATTTGGTTGTCAAAAAGCTTCAAGAGAACTTCTGGTATTGCTGGGAATTTCTAACCAAAGTGTTGTATCTATCCCAACGTTTTCTTTCTGAAAAAAGGGATGATACCTCTGACAAATTTAAAAATAAGGGTCAGATTTAAAAGAAAACTACATAAAAATGAAAAACTGATAAACATCCTAGTAACCATTCATCTATACAGTATATGCATATGTGTATACAAGTAATTTGTAAGTAATTATTTTAGTATGCACATGTGCATATCGTGCACACATGCATAAAAACCAGAAAACATTTTCACTTACTTGTACGCACATGTACATAACGTACACATGAATGGTTATTAGAGTATTTCTCAGTTTTTCATTTTTAGGGGTTCTTTTACCTTGAACCTCTGTCTTATACACCATATGATGTGGGACTCCCACCCAAATGCATGCCCGTTCTAGATATTGGGATAGGCCCCAATCCTAGAACGGAAATGATCCCAACTTTTGGAAGGTTAAGGATTCAAACTTAACCTAAATGAGGAATGTGTGTGGGTATTTACCCCGTGTGTATATATATATATATAACTCACATGGAGCCTGGAAAATAGAAGGGGTTTTTTCAAGTTTGACATGATGTTGATTTGTGAATTGTGTTCAGTAAATTTGTGTTAATTTGAAAAATTAATTGTTAAAATTGTGATTTTACGCTTGTTACTATATCGACAATCATGCTTGGTAACGGAAACGAAAAACGAGAGTAACTAAATTAACCGAACCTCCACCAAATCGGTTGTAACGCCCCAAATTTCTATAAATCGGGTGTCATTACTTTCTTATTGATATTGAATGGTTTAGTGTATAATGATTAAGTGGTCAGAGTGATTAAGAGACTCTTATGATATAGTGCGAAATGAAATATAATTGTTCGGCAATTGTTTATAATAGAATCAGGGTGCTGAATGGTTAAGGGAGATCCATGATACAAAATCATTCAGAGGGTTTTAGAACTATTAAGAGGTAGACTTTTTTTTTGCCACACAGGATTCACCTCTTAACGATTCAAGGTTATCTCTTAATGGAACCATTAAGAGGTAAACAAACAACCCCTAGTTCTCGAATATAAGCTTGAAATTTAACTTCATTTATAACATAACTTGTGAATTACATCATAGATGAAATACTAGCGGAAACGTAACTCAATAGCTTGAAATACAATATAATTTGCTATTGATTAGTAAAATACCTCGTCATGTAAGTCTTGTTTACTCCTTTCCCGAGATACATACATGAGATATATAAGCTAAAAAACTTAGTGAGTAGTTATGGTTTCATGAATAAACAATTTTCATGATACTTAACATTTTGTAAATAGTAATGGTGCCTGATTGGTTTGAATTTGGCCTCAAAAGTTCATGGTGGTCCCATGCTCAAATCCAATGAGGAATAAAAATTCGTTTGTGGCCATTGAGGTTCAAATGTGGTGACCCCAGTCTACCCGTAAAGCAGGTGGTCATCCTGAGATTAGACAGCTCGCATAGCGGATTGGATATTCATGTTAATAAAAAAAGACATTTTGTGAATAATAATTCACTAAAATTCTTGATCATGCACAAAATGATATTTTTATCATGCATAAACATTCTCTTGAGATCTCACTTGAAACATGTAAGTATGTCATGCTTGTCTTGACATTTGCTAACTGTTGGGTCCATCGTACGTTGGATATTTACTCTAAATTTTATATAAAAAATTCTAATTACCATACTTCTAATTTTCAAAAATTGCAACAATAATTTTACATTTGTTGTATGATAAGTGTGTCATGATCTAAAAGATATGACGATAGAGATAGATAGATATATCAACGTTAGATTAGAAGTGAAATATCTTGTAGTTATCTACATATAACTCATCTCTATAAAAATGACTTATGATTAATGAAAATTACATATTTCTTCTCTCTATTCTATTATTGTTTTTTTTCCCAGTTATTCTATAACAATACTTGAGATTTTTAGGTATATAACTAGGGCTATTCATTGGTTGACATTCACTGGATGTGAGGGGAACCGAACCGATCCAATCATCTATTGGATGTTGTATTTTTCCAACCGATTTGATTTGATTAACATTGGATAACCGATCCAATGGACGTTTGGATCGGTTTGGTTCTATCCATTAGATACTTTTATTAGATATCCAATAAATGATCCGTTGGGATTAGATCCATTCAACGTGTTAATTCAATCTAATTCTCTAACAATATTACAAATTGATTAATCACTTTTAATATGTGTAAAACCAAAACAAAGGAAGTTAAAAACTCAAAGACTCACATAAAACAAATTTGAAATTCCGATTTAAGCAATTTGAAAATAAATTAATTAGATGATAGTTGGATAATGGTTGCATGGACAACTGAATGGTCATCGGATGATTAATTCAATGGGTAATTGGATGTTGATCGGTTTGGTTCAATTTTGATCGGTTCTCGAATGATAGTGATCCAAATTGGATGTTGAAATTTTCAATCCGATCTGATCCAATTACAATTGGATATCTAATCATGGTTAGTCGGTTCCAATTTGATCGATTGATTTTATACATACCCCTATATATATATATCCTTAAATTGGATTTTAACTATAATTCCACTTTTTTTTCAAATTAAAAACTTATTTATGGGGTGTTTGGGATTGCTTATAAAAGCTGTTTTGTAACTTATTTCAGTCTGACACCGGTAATAAGCTGTTTTCTGGTGTTTGGATAAAAAAAATTGCTTATACTGGTGTCAAACCGGTAACAAACTGTTTTTGATAAGTTAATCATTCATGACTTATAAAAAACTGTTTATTACCAGTTTACAATTTTAACCCTATTTTATTTAACTTCGATTTAATACAACATAAGTTAATAAACACTTAAAAAAAAAAAAAAAAAAACATAAGTTGAATACTCGCTTATAATCATTTACGTAAATGTCCCATAAATCCATAATACTTCTTTTGGTCAGCTGACATCCCGCCAAAAACATTACCATGATGGAGGAAGAAGATGAAACCCTAGAACTCTATGATCTCCATTACTCTGATCTCATGGCATTATCTTCTTCAGATCACCAGTTATCAGTAACATCGGAAAAGATGGAATATTTGGAATCAGTTAAGAGCACAATCATGAAAAACCTAGGTCCCTCCGGTCCAGGTCTTCTCGCCATTACCGGAGTCCCCAATGCTTCCATTCTCCGACGAACGCTGCTTCCAATGGCTCGAAAGCTCGCTCTCCTTAAGAATGAAGATCGCAAACTCATACTCAAGGTATTGTATTTCGAAAACGTAACGTAAATTGTTGTTTCGAGAATGTAGCTTATATGTTCGATAAAATGACTGAACCAAGTGATCTAGCTTTTGAGCTTCGATGTTTGTTGGTTCGGTTTAAACAGTAAGTTTTTAAACGAGAAAAGATGTAGTATCCCATATGAGTTGGGAGGGGAACTATGGTTACGAACTGGATATCTCCTCTACCGAAGCCTTTTTTAAAACCGTGAGTCTGTGTAGAAAAAATGGACAATATCTAGTACTGTTAAGCTGAGATGTTACAGATGGTATCAGAGCTGAGAACTGGACTAGTGTGCCAAGGAGGACGCTGGGATCCCATGGGGAGTGGATTGTAAGATCCCACATCGGTTGGGGAGGGGAAGTAAGGGACTAGATATCTCCTCTACTAGACGAGTTTTAAAACCATGGACAAAGCAGAGTATATTTGGTATGGTTAGCCTAGGATGTTACAAAAGGAGTTATTGATTACACAGGATTAGGTTCCGGTGAAAATGGAAGTTATGGTAAGAAGGGATCTCCAAGGATCAATTCCCTTCTAAAGCCCAATTCATGAGTTGTTTTGGAATTAAAAGTGATCAAGGATCCAAATCCCTTCTTACACTTCTCCCCTGAACTCATATTCTCACACGATCCTTCGTTTGATTACACATGTTTGTTATTTGTAAATTTGTAATCAAATGATACCCTTTCTCTTTCAAGAAGCTTATTATTTGGTGGCACATTTGCAGGATCATGGGTTAGGGAGTGATGTTCCACTGAAGAACATTGATAGAACAGTCTCCCCTTTCGCGATGCAATTAAGATATGATCAGGATCCAGATGTTAGCAACCTCTGTAGCTTAAATCATTCAGGGATTGAAGATTCTGGTTCAGATGTTAAGAGTTCAAGTGAATTCAAGAATCTTGGGAACATATTCAAAGATTTAGGAAATTGCATGATGGAGCCAGGTCTTCATCTCGCAAGGGTGTGCGACAAGATCATTGGTGGACACGAGCTAGAGCAATGCTTACTGGAATCATGTTCAGCTAAAGGGCGTCTTATACACTATCACTCAATTGTAGATAACCAAATCCTGCAATCTTTGAAAGATACTCGACCCAAAAGCAAGAAAATTGCAAAAACCAACCAAGAACACTCCGATTTATGGCAGCAGTGGCATTATGATTATGGTGTGTTCACTGTTTTGACAGCTCCGATGTTCATTGTTCCTGAAAATAACGGTTCTTGCCAATCATGTGACGGGAAGGAATGCCCTTCCCCTAGCGGACATACATATCTGCAAATACTTTATCCCAATAAGAACAGTGTTGTGAGGGTGAAGGCATCTTCTGAGAGTTTTATCGTTCAGGTAGGGGAATCAGGTGACATATTGTCAAAGGGCAAACTGCGTGCAACTCTTCACTCCGTTTGTAGGCCCAAAAATTTGGAAAATGTGAGCAGGGAAACCTTCGTTGTGTTCTTACAGCCTGCGTGGAGCAAGACGCTTTCTGTCTATGATTTTTCAGTGAAAGATTCAAGTTCAAATGGTGGGTATTCAAGAATATGTGATGAGGAGAATGGGTGTGCAAAATCAAGTTCATATATTGGTAAATTGGTTCCACCACTTTGTGATCGCTTGAAGGACGGAATGACATTTGCAGAATTCTCAAAAGAAACAACAAAGCAATATTATGGAAGCAGCGGATTGCAGTCGAAGAGATGAATTGGTTGAAAGATGGTTGGCTTAATTTTCGATAACAATGGTGATTTGGAATCATTGATCCAAGTAGATATACACTCTCGGTTCGTAGAAGAAACAATATGGATCAATAAAAGTATGGAAGTGCTTTCATTTGATTATATGAATTCAGCTTGGCTACTGGTAATCATACTGTGGGCATGGGAAATCAGAAATCTTCTACAAAATTCATTTCCAGGTTAGTGATATTTGTCATGAAATTTTAACTGCTTGTGTTACAAAGTTAGCACTCACACAACTACTTTTGAAATTGTAACTCTGTAAGGTATCTTAGGGGCTGCTTAGCAAAGCGCTTACCATAAAGAGTCAACACTCTTACTAATCTTACCGTTTAGGATACTTGGCCATCAAAATCGGCATTATGTGCAACAATCTTGCCCAGTAAGCGGTTACCGGCTCTCACCAAGTAAGATTCTTGACCCTTGCCATGTTAATCTGGTAAGGGAAGTGACACGGTGAGTGTTCAGTCCCTTACGTAAGTTACACGATCAAATGGGGATTCTTAAGGGGGGTTATATATATATATATATATATATATATATATATATATATATATAATATGTTGGCCATATATAATATTTGTGCCTTTTTTCTTTTCTTCTCTGATTGATGTTTACTACGTGCTCGTCTTGACTATTCTTCTTGTTCTTGTCTTTTTATTCCCTCCCCGTCACACTTTTGCATAACCTGGGTTTTCACAGAAACAACTGTTTTACCCTATGATGCAAAAGTTAGGACGGAGTATATACAGCCTCTCCTAGACTTTGTATTCCAACTAGATATACTGTATTTGTTTGGTTAGGGATACTTTGGCCCTTTGGGGGTGGTATCAAAAAAGCACAAAAGTTCTCCTAACTTAAGGATCTTTCCAATAAAGTTCAATTTTTTCTTTGGAGAAAATGAGGTCCAAGAAACAAATATCACAAATGAAAATAGACCCTACATGAAAAGTTGTAAGATCCCAAAACCCAAAATTCTAGGGTTTTAGTTTCATAAGAATAAAATATTAAATAATGTGTGGGTCCGTTTGGTTTGTAGGATTTTTTTAGAGATTTGGATTTCATTGAGGGATTTGGATTAAAATGGATTTGAAATCATTGGTATGTTTGGTTTGTAGGATTTAGAATGGAATTGGATTTCATTATTTATAAATAATTTATAGAAAAAATTATGAAAATAATTGAATTACATTTTTATTAATCGATTATTACAAAACAAATATTTTTAACATTTTTTAAAACCTTATTGTATACAATCCTACAAAATCTCGTGAAATCCCGAGAATTCCCTAAGGATTTCAAAATCCTATATTTGAAAGATTTCAATTAAATCCATGGATTTCAAATCCGGACAATCCAACAAACCAAAAAATGGGATTGGAGTGGATTTGAAATGCAAATCCCCCCAAATCTATTATATTCCTTCAAACCAAACGGGACCTTTGAGTCCCATGTTAACTTAGACTTGGACCATTTCTTCTTCGTATATATTGAATCTCCGGTTCTTTTTCTTTAAGGGATCTTTGAAGAGTAAATATGTGGGTTCCATGAAGGCGGACCTCGCAAAATTTTCAAGTGGTGGCACCCCTTGACTATAAAAAAACAAATATATGTATATTTTTCACAAAATTATTATTGGTCTGTTGATTGGTTCTTTGCTTTTTATTTGTGAGGTCTTATGTTCGATTCTTTCATTGCAACTTTTTTCAGAAACATAATAAATCTGAAATTAAAAGCTAAAAACTAAGGAAAATGACGCAAATGGGATTTGAACCCGGGTGGGAGAAAAGTCATGCAACCCAACTCTACCAACGGACACTTGTGTCACCCTTGTAGTTTCAAAATATATATAGTTGCACAAAACAAAATGACACAGTGTCACATTTCACGACCTTATAATTTTTTACACTAGGACGGAACAACAAAGCGGTGGCCCATGCCATCGTATCCAATAGCAAGGGTTTGCCTCTGGTTTCATATATCCTCACATTGTAGCAATGCCAAGGTCTCTCACTCTAGAACTCGACCCCAAGGGGAAATCTATGCCCCTCAACCCCCACCGGCCGCCGGCCACAACACTTTAAGACAATTTGTGCCCGTCTAGCCTCTGCTAGAGAGGCATTGTTAGAGTCCAACATCAGCTAGACTTCAACAATTTCTCATTGATATATGTTTTGAACAATCGTGTTCAATATTGATATAACAAACTTGATTGATTGGATGTATGATATAAGGATAAGCTTGCCATGATTAAGTAAGATGAGGATTGACATGATATGACATAAGTGCTTAGCATATTCCATTATTATTATTATTATTTGTGAGAATGATATAATTCATGAATGAATATCTCTTCAAATGTGTATTCATGAATGAATAGTTAGTGATGAAACCTAATTGAAAAGGACGAGAGTTATTGGGCATGACCCCCCACATTGAGCCTGAGACTTCATAAATTGACATCAAATACTAGTGGTTGTGGAGGTGGCCTTATGGAATTGGAAATCCACACATCTTGTTGCCCATTCAACCCTAAAATTTAAGAATCGAATTCAGGAGTAGGTGTCTCTATTTTATCAAATTATGACCATTTAGAATGAATATTCTTGAGCCATAATAAATTTATATACATGTCTTTAAATTATAGCTTAACACACACACACACACACACACACACACATATATATATATATATATATATATGATAAGCTATATAGAGGGTTGGGTTCACGTGAGACCAAGTGTTTTTCGTGATACTCGTGAGACCAATTTATGTTCATTGATTAACTTTTTAAGCTAATGGTCTAAAGTTGCAATGTGGCAATTTTGTGATTATTGAGAAGTTTCTTAGCAATTTTGTGATTATAAATGTTGAGATTGTAGATCTAATCCAAGGGTTGAGAATTGGTTTTACGGGTCTCACGAAAAACCTTTGGTCTCATATGATCTTAAGTCTCTCTCTCTCTCTCTTTCTTTCTCTCTCTCTCTATATATTATATATATAGAGAGAGAGAGACTTGGGAATTGGGTTCACGTGAGACCAGCATGTTTTCGTGAGATCCGTGAGACTACTTTTTTACACTTGGAACTTCACAGCAAAATGCTATGAAGGTAACTTTCACAGTGTTTTTGCTTTAATTTTTTTATATCTTTTTTTTTATATAAAAAAACCCGGACTGACCCAGGGTTGGATTTAGGACCGGATAGACCTAGGTTGGTCCTAGGATCTTTTTGTTATTATTACGTGTTACATATAAAATTTTATTTTCCAGACTCTTTAACCTGTTAGTAGTAAACTGGGTCGTTTGAAAAAACTTATAACTAATCCAGATCAACCGGGTCCAAACCTACCAAAGATCAACCGATTTAACCAATACCATTTACAACAATTTGTCCAAAAAACGACTTGTACCCAACCCTTGTTAGTTTCTTAAGTTCCCTTCTTTAACATTTCAACTGCCAACTACCCTTATCCTTTTAATATATATCTCTCTCTCTCACACACACACACACACACACATATATATATATATATAATATATATATATATATTCCAAAATATCATATTTTGATTTGATATGAAGTTATTCAAATTGGGGTACCACCACCATTTAATAATAACAACCACCGTCATCTCTATCATCCCCACCACCAACCATGGCCCAACACCCCACCGTCATCTCTGTCTTCCTCACCGGGCCACCTCCACCCATGCCCACCACACCACCGTCATTGCCATTGCCGTTGATACATCACGTTTTAACCTTGCTTATATCACAGTCTTAACTTTAATCTTATATTTATATGAAATTGTATTTCGTTACGATATGGGTATGTGGGATCCTTTTGAATCTCTTTAGAAATTCTTTGACGTGTCTTCTACATGTTACGCGAACAATAACATGACATGAAAACTTGGTAATTTGTGTCATGTCATTTTAATTCAAATGGTAAGTTTACCCATTGCGATAATGAATAAAATTTTTAAAGTACAGTGTATTAAAAAATTAAAACAATTTGAAAGTATATTGCCGTCATAAGAAAATTTGTGAAAATAGGTTGACATTTTGTGCATTTGGCACACACACACACACATATATATATATACTAGAAGGGTACTCGCGCAATGCAGCGAGATACATCGTGATTTTAATATTTTATTTTATTCTTTATCTCAGTCGATGTAATAATATGGCTTTATGTGATTTTGAGAAAGTGATGATGTTTTTATTTTTGAATAAAATATATGTTTGAAGATATCATAAAAATTTGACCAAAATATATC